TTACATATAAGTGGCAAAATTGTTTGGCAGATTAAAAAATATGTATAAAGGTTGTTGAATAATTTGCTTAGCTAATTAACACCTTGATCTGCACACAAGTGAATATCAAAATTGGCCTTGCATTTAAAATCCTATCATGGAACCAATTTTAAGGTGTTGGTGAAGTCATTGTTGTAGGTATTATAATTACAACATTTGCTTAGTCAAATATTGCAATAAAGTTGCCCCAAGAGAAATGCTTGGGAAACTATTCCAACCATGAACGATTGGATTCTTCCTCCAGCAAGTCCTCTAACATAGTTTCCCTAATCTTATGCAACTAAAATTTCTCTTCTAGTTAATGCTTGCATGTTATCCTTATCGTACGCTAGCTCTTTAATGCTGTCAATTTTAACCACTGTTAACGCTTTTTTTTTTTACAAGAGAAGGAAATTTATTAACGGAGTATAAATATGAATCTAACTTATACGAAGAAAGGCTAGGTGAAGCCAACAAAAAATTATAGCAATTAGAAATCAGGGGTCAACTATGAAAGCTAAAAATTTAAACATAAAAAGGAGATGAACACCGATCACAAAACAAACACCTGTCAAATCTCAAACAAGCCATAAGGATTATATTGTTGTAAACCTAAATAGCTTCTAAAACTATGTTCACTGCTGCAGGAAATAACATTTGCAATGCATAATTGTCACTAATTATTGATGCATTTATTGTATGTTAATATATTGAGTAAAAACCGAAAATGGGCCCAAAAATATTTATTTGACTCAATTTAGTTCCTAAAAAAATAAGTTATCAAATACTTTCTGAAAATTATTTTCACCAGCAAGTTAGTCTCTTTATTTGTTAACATTACTTGTTTAACTTGATAAAATTAACTAATTTTTTTAGGACTTAACTGGCTCTAATAGTTTTTTCGAGACTAATTTAATTTTAAAAATAAGCTTTTAAAAAATTATTTACAAGATGAAAATTACTATTGTCATCTCAACGAATTAACAGATTACATAAACATTTTTAAGTTAAATAGGAGTATTTTAATGGATGAACTAACTTTTCTCACATAAATTTTTTTTAAAAGATTATTTGGTAAGATTTTTTTAGGACTAAACTTTGTTTAATAAATGTTTTTAAAGATAAAGTTGAATGTTTATAAAATTAAAGTGTATTTGTATACATAACTTATTATTTCAGTGTTAATTAAATATTTTTTAAATTAAACCTAAATCATAAATTTAACGATAAAATTTATTGAAATAAAATAATTATTTTAATAAATTATAAAAAATATTAAAATAAGTAAAAAATAATTTATGAGATTTATTTTTATAAACTATAATGATTTTCCTTGTATAGAATTTAGAATTAGAGAAATGAAATAATGATTCAATCCTCTTAAGGATGGAATCCCCATTCAAACGAAATTAGATGTCGAGTAAAGAACTGAAGACATTAAGTTTAAAGGTATTGTAGAGTTGTCATGTCCAGTTATTTTTTTCCCCCAACTGATATTTATAGTCTTTTAACCTTAGTTACCTTCACATTTCTTAGTTTTTGCAATTTCCTTGAGTCTCATTAGTTATTATTAGTTTTGGTGGCCAACTTTTCCTTCTTTTTTCCGCATCAAAGCATAGTTTTTAGTCGACATTTGAACACTATTCTCTTTTTTTGCTAATATTTTTTTTCTTCTAATGAACACTATTCTCTTTTCAAAGTAAGAGATTCCTAAAATTGTTATAATTTTTTTCAATAAAATCTTTTTCATACACACAGTTTATACTTTAATATTCTATCAATGTACTAAGAGATTCAACTATCTATCAGCTAAATCTATCGTATGTGTTAGGCTTTGTTAGTGGCTTTTACTCACTCCAACATGCTTCGGCTTCGGCTTCATATTTATTATTTGTAACTAATTAAATTCACACATTTTACGTTATACACTAAAAAGAATTGTTTATATGTGATGGTTAAATTTATCAAATAATTGACAGTTATAAAACTGACGTTAAACTTAACAACACAAAATTAAATTTGTTGTTTTAAATTGTCACAAAATATTAAAATTTGTAGTAGTTATTTATTGATAGTTTTAAACCACAACTAAATTTTGAAATTCAAATATCTGACTAGGCAGCTAAATTTTGAAATTTGTGACAATTTTATAGTGGCGGTTTTGAATTGTGCTAAATTTTGAAATTCTAATACCAGATTGCTGCATAAAGTTCCACCACCCAATTTAAATTTTAGCTTCTACACTTTTATTCTATTCTTTTGCATCTTTACTTTTTTTTTCTTTTTTTATTTAGGTTCACATTCCATTATTTTTTAACATCACAACATATATATTTGATAATTTATAGTGTAGGTTGTTGAAGAAGAGTCATGGAAAGGATAATAGATTATTAACAAAAATTGATTGTCACATTTAAATAAGACACTTTGATGATAGTGACAGTGGAATTTAACGAAGAGTTAGGAGTGAATGGTAATATTGTATTTCGCTGACAGTGGAACTAAGTAGTTTGTTGGTAATTATTCATAACTGTCATTAATAAACTAACGCCAATTAACGCATTTCTTGTAGTGATATCTTGAAATAACTTAAAATACCAATATCGAACTTTTAATATTAAACTTAATTAAATGAATCACAAAATTTTATACTATCATTTTTTTTTACTAAAAAGAATACGATTTGAAAATAAATAAACTCGCTTTATAGATATATCTTAATTAAGAATTTAAATAATATATATTATAAATATCAATAAAATAGATATACTTACATGAAAATTTGCACAATATATTAATAAATATGTGTGAAATTTAATATAGAAAAAAATAGAAATAAGTTGTAATAGTGTAGTTTATAATATTATGATAAGTTTGACTTGTAATAATATTTTTTTTAATAACAGTATACTAAATGTCAATAAAATATAATATTTAATTATATTAAATATCATTCTTAGAAGTAGTTCATTATAAATTACTTATATAAATTAGATTAATAATCTTTTAAAATATATTTTTAATTTTTTTTGAAATTGTAACGAATTAGAGTATTTTTTTTATTTTGATTTTACCTTTAATAAAGTGTTGATGATAAAAAATAATAATAAAATAATTTTATAATTAAAAAAAAAGCATAATTGTGTTTATTTCTTCTTTCTACGTTTAATTTTTCTAACTATTAATGATTTCTTAACAATTTTTAAGGCCCTCAACCTAAACCATACCTAAGAGAATCCGTACAGTATCGAAGTGAAAGCTGGGTTGGGCCGCGGGCCCTGACTGGGCAGGGCTAGACACAGAATTGGGCTGGACTAAGCCAGAAAGTTATTTGCCGAAAGAATCTGTGGGTAAGTATAGTTTTTCTCGTTCGACCAAAAATAAGTAAATTTCCTCTCTTTAAAGTACTAATTTCTTTGTTGACTGAAAAAAATATACAAATTTATTTATTAGATCATTTTCAAAGATTCTTAATATTATTTTTAATACAAATTACTCATTTTTTTTTCTTTGTAATTTATCCAAAGTGATTTTTTTCAGTTCTCTCTCTCAATTTTTTTTATCTATAAAAATACATTTTATTTTATTTATTTATTTCTCTATTTCACTTCTAGTCCAATCAGACTAGTAGGGTAACTTCATTTTTTTTTTCACCTCAATTTTTTTTTATCTTTACGACTCACATTATTTATAACATGTGTTATTCATCTTTTTTCTCTTTTTATTTCTCCGACTGGGTATGTATACATATAATAAGTGCATACAAACCATTTTCTAATTCTGTTGAATAAAAAGCTCCAAAAAGGAGTGATTTTAGTAGAATTCGAACACGTGGCTCCAAAGATAAATAAAATATAAATTTATCCCCGCCAATTCATAGAATCAATTTTCATTCGGATCATGCAACACAGAATTTAAGCATATATGAGTAATGGATAGACTCTTTAAGGAGATACAAGTAAGATTTTATCTATTATTAATTTAAAGTTATTTATATTTAAAAATACTTTAATTCATCTTAAAAATAAATATTAAAAGTAAATAGAAGTCTCACTTTCTTATTTTACATATTTTTTTACTTTACAAAAATTAGATCCATGAATTATATCCTAGTTTTCAACGGTGTTAAAAACCAACGTAACGGGCGCATAGTCACATAAATCAAAGTTGTTAAATCTAAACTCAATGCGGAAGTTTTTAATTCAGCAGAATGTTCACTATCACCACACACATGCACATGCACAATCTGTTTCCTTCTACTACTATCCAAGAATTCAATTTCTTGCCAGGTTATTATAAACACTAAGAAGCTCCGTCAATTTATATATCAATTTGAAAATGGGAAGATTCCTATCTTGTCCAAAATCATTCATATTTGGACTTTGATTTTACATACTACTATGCTTAATATTTAGTCGGTACTTTGAAAATTTTGGTCATTTTTTTATTTTCTCATCTTCAATTCTGGATATTGCTTCTCTCCTTCTTTAATTCCATTCACAAACCGAATTGCCATGATTCATTATTTAGAGAAATTTAGGATTACATCTTGAGAGCTATTTTTGGTGACAATTATAGCTGGAATATTGTAAGCTTCATGCAAGGGGTTAGTACAGGACCTTATTTTAAAGCTGAAAATTTGATTGGTAGAAAAACAATATATAAATTCTATGATACATGAGATGGCCTTAAGCCTCAGAGGTCATTGGCATGCCATAAATGAAAGTTAATTCTACAATGCTTATACATAAATTGGAAACATTATGTTACACATTTTAACCTACAGCTTCCAGTGACCAGAAGTGAAGAGTAAGACTGAGAATGATCCAACAGCTGAAAGTAGTAACCAGATAAAACCAAAGCAAACCTTAAACAAAATAGGCTTGGAAATAAATTAACCATTTTTCTTTCAAAACTGCTAAGCATTCTCTGTTCCAATTAATAATATATCAACTAACAAGCTCTGGGTATCACCACCATTAAACATAAACCATATTTGCAAAAAATATATTATAATGCTCGAGGAAAAAGTGGAAAGTGAAAATCTCCAATAGTACATATTGCAATGATGTTAAAACTGAGTGTCATGACAGACTTCTCTCTTTATTCATGCCACAGTATCAAGAATCTCCAGTGTATAGAACAGGTGATCTTATTCATTCATGTGCATTTTGTAAAAATATGGTATACGTGCAGTGGTTCTTTTGTACAATGAATACAAGAATACAATGAGAAGACCATTTTCTGCCACAATAGGTACTCTGGTGGGAAAAACTGGGATTGCTATCAAAACAAAAAAGGAAGAAAAAGGAGAAAATTTGGTAGTGCAATGACTTGCTACTCCTTAGCTTCATGGAGATATATAAAAACTACCTATGATGGTGGAAAGGCCTCCACTTTCTGAAATTAAACTCTGTCAACTGGGGAGAGGGGTGGAATTGGATTATAATATAAAGGTGCTTTCCCTTGAAGTTCTTTGCTGTTCTTGGAACTGAATTTCTTATTGATCTCTTCTTCCATGGTATTCATTTCCAAGGAACTTGGTAGTTTCTGGCTGCTTAAAACTGAGACAGAAATGAAGAATGCCTGTAAATGATTGATTGTTGAACTGAATTCAACTGAGTAGAGTCCATCCTTCAAAGGCACCAAAGTGAATAGAGGTGTGTTCTGCTCAGCTCCTTCCTGAAAGTTATAGCATAGATAACGTTAACTGGGTTATCCACAGTATTTATAATTATGGGTGGGCTTGGTTACTCTGCTTAATTAACTACCTATTCAATACACTCTTTTTACACGAGGATTTATGTAAGCTTACTGAATTAAGGTGAAAACAACTTATTTGATAAACTATACCAAGAAACTGATTGAAATAAGTTTAAAAGATCTTACGAGAATCATATCTGTAAGTTATCCATAAACTCTTCCAAATGTACACTGTATATAATCATGGCCTCGGTAATCAAAGTAAAAACATACCTGAACAAAAAGTTGAAATCTCTCAAGGTAAGATGTTGAACTCCTTGGAATATTTGAAATGAGGTTTTGGTTAGAGAGAACAAGCAGTTTGCAACCAACGTCCCAACCTCCACAATCACACAATCCACCCAATTTCCATCTATGGATCAATGGTGAAGGTTCTCCTGCGGTTGGTGAACTATGAACACCACCTGGAAGTATAACTATGACGTTACCATCTATATCATTTTCTTGAGAGCTGCAAATGCATCTTTCATTTTGCAAGCACTTTAAGCATCCCTTCTTATGCAACCCTTCATGACTTATGTTTTCACAAGGGATCTCAATAACAACAGATGCAAGTTCCTTGCTCTTGATGAACTTCGGTGATCCTTGATCTGGCTGGTCAATTTCAACCCCCATTAGGACATATTCTTTCACCACACTCTCTCTCTTGGGGTTCTTCTGCTTTCTTGTTTCAGTCATTTTAGAGCTAGAAACCTTCATCTGACCAACAATATTGTACACATATCCACAGTTTTTTTCCTTACTCCGTTGACTCATCCATTTACCATTCTTTTTCTTGATTTCGTTAACAAGGTAGAATGTAAAACAGCAGTCTACATCATTCTTCGCGGATGATGCTAAACTCTTCATGGTAGCAGCAAGAACCTTTCTTTCATTGTTGAGCACAAATTTAAACAAAGGTAGTCCATTTTTTATTGTTAGCTGCAAAATGGCTTGAATTGGTGATTCACTTCTCTTTTCATCAGGCAGATTATCCGTCCTCAAGCTGATTGAATGCATGCTTCCTTTTGGGGTAACACAGTGTTCATCTGAATGGTGTATGTTTGATGCCTTATGCTTCAATATGGGGTCTAATAACCTCAAATAGGGACTGGACCTGGTTCTTTTATGACCATTTACCTTATCTTTGCTAAGATTATCCAAAAAAGCAGAAGATTCAGATGTCACTAGACCAGAATTTGCACTAACATACATGGAGCTAAGTTTTGGAATGGTAGACCCTTCCTTGAAACTGAAACTTCTTCCAATGCGACTTAAACTTAAGCTAAGCCAACGATGGGATGAGGAATTCTGAGCTATCATCTCAGCAGTTTCATGATCCTGTGATTTATTTAAATTACTGAAAGCACATTGATTTTTTTGATTGACATCTAACACATCTTTTTCAATGGAAGTATCTTCTGCTTGGAGACTAGACATCTTATTTAAGAAAGCTGGCTTCTTAGATACAACCGAGGAATGATCAATATCTAGGTCAGTATTGAAACTATGTTGCATTGTTTCTGAGGAAGAAGCAAGCTCTGTTACAGAAGGAAGTACACCTGAATGTGGAACTTTGGAATATAAATCTTTAGTGTAATCCTCCTCTTGAAGGGAAACATATGATGAACTACTCCGGCTTGATTCTGAAAAGTCTTCATCAGATGAAGTTCTTGATTGAGAATGCTGAAAATAATCTTCAGAACTCGATTGAAGAACTCTTTGGGGACGAAGCAGCACAATGTTACTAGGCATCCTATGGTTGTGTTTATGACCAACATCAATATCTGACTCCTGCCACTGATCCATCTTTTTCTTGGCTTCAATGCTTCTGGAACTCATTTTCTTCTGAGAATCAAATGAGACACCTTTACTTTTTGATTCTAATGATGGAAGTCCCTTATCAGAACTAGACTCTAGATTTCTCTCCTTATTCTTGAGGCTATGCTGTTGCAAACCCTCCATTCTCCCCTTAGCTTCGACATCATGCCTGGACTTTGATACAAAATTTCCAACCACTGAAGATATTTCATCGTAGTCATTCCTTTTCACCCTTTGAAGTGATGTATCTGACTGAGTTTTGCCACGGGGCTCAAATTCCCTGGGTGTGTTTCTGTGTTCATCTCTAATTGTTCTTGCTTTAGCTTCAGAATATTGATATTTGACATTCTGAGAAGACCCTTTGGAACTTTTAGGAAGACCTTCTTTATAAGATGCCTTGATTCTTGAAGAACTCAAATCTTTTCTACCATCAAAATTTTTATTATGGCCACTAACAGTGGTAGATGATGTGGTGGCTGCCCTTGATGATGATGATGATGATTCTTCACTTCCATTGAATGGTGTGAAACTACTAGCTACAGCCCTGATATGAGTTTGCTTGCTCTTCCACTTTTCAAGCTGTGACCAATCTAGAACCCCAACATTTAAAGCCTTCCCTTGAATGCTTTCTCCACTATCAGAACGCTTGAGAAAAGATGGCAAATTAGACATATACTTGACAAGTTCATCAGGTTGACTTGAACTTTCCCTTGCACTCTCCCTGTGATGAACCTTTCCTACTACATCGTGCTTTGCTTTATGACAAGGATCACTGTTTTGTGGATCAACATTATTAGACTTTGATTTCAACTTATCAAGATCCCTTGGATATGGACTGTGTTGAGGCAAATCAGAACTATCCTTAGCTGTCTTTGACCTGCTTTGCCGTTTTGAACTTTTATTTATGAGATTTAAGCCGAATCCCATGTCATCAGAGGTTTTCAGCAATTCATTCTTGGTCATATCAGAATGGCATGGCATAATATATACTCAGAATTCACTTTGAAGTATCACTCATCCACTTGTGATTCAGAGGATTTACTCCGCTAGATCTGGAAATGGATACATTTAAATCGGTTAAGTTATTTATAAATTAAAAATCAAAAATCAAAAATATGTTGCAAATATTAGAATTCCGAACAAAGAGGATTTTCAAAAGGAACTTTGATGGCATCTAAATGCAATTCAACAAAAGAAGGCAACTGCTATCAAATCACATTTCACAACACAACAATGGTATGAATAGACAAGCAGCAGAACAAGCTTCGCACACTACAGTTTCTATATCAGCCACTTTTAAATAGGTATTTTTGAAAAAAAAAAAAAGAAATAGAATCAAGAAGTTGCGTGTGTTAAAAACATGGAGACAAAAATTCAAGCCCTGAATATGCAACAGTTATAGCTTGCTTTATTTTTTTCTGTGGTAAGAAAAACAAATATCTGTTTCTAGAAACTTAGAATTAGGAATTTGATTTTGACATTGTTTATGATGAATTATGACAGAAAGCCACATGAAAGGGAACTAATTGAATTTATTGTGGAAAAATAAATGCATATAGACTTGACCAAAACATCCACGTCCTAATTCAGTGAACAAAAACGATAGATATCAACCATTCCCTACTCTCAGAAACAGAAAACAGTGTAATCATTTGCCCCAAACATTAACCAAAAATATGTGGCTTCTGAATTTGATGCTAATTAATTACACATAAATTTACATCAACATCATGGAATAACCTTTGCTCTGAACCCAAAACACAACACAAACGCACCAAAACAAAGAACCATGAAGTAACATGGGCTAATAGTTATGTAACACTTGGACTGTGACATGCGTGAGACCATCAAATTGAAAACAGAACATTCAAATTTATAAATGAAAAGAAAATTATTCTCGTTTAGCTGCAGAGAAAAAGTTACAAAAAGATGCAATACCAAAAATTATAAACACCCTCTTCCTGAACATTCAAGAGCAGCAAACAAAAGCCAATTTTCCGATAAAATGAAGAAACCAAAAACAATGATAACAGTTTTCCTTTCAACTCAAGATACATTTTTTTTTCTTCAGAAAAAGAAAAAAAAATACCCAGAAGAAGGTAATGGAAAAATGCAGCATCCAACTGAATCTCAAAGTTATTTGAAGAACTTACCAACCCAGAAAACCAAAAAGAACAAAAGAAGGAAAATTGAAAAGAAGAGTGGGAAATCCACGTGGGTATGTTATGGCGGCAAAGTGAGAGAGGAACAGGTTTCGTAGATCCCGAGGAAGATCCGAAAGGTGATTGGGTGAGGAATTTAATGCAGGTGGTAGGTTGGAATCAAAGCTAAGAAGTAGAATGAATGGTAGAAGCACTGTGCAAGGCAAGGGATGAATGTTTTACATATTGTTCATCATCAGCATCAGCATCAGCATCAGCATCAACATCAACGCTTCTCTTGCTTCAACGTATTGGTATTTAATACATGTACGCGTTTTCTTCATTATGAAACACAGAGAGAAACTATGTAACACGGAGTGAGAGAGTGTCTGGTTTGGTTGGGGTCCACTGTGTGGGTCCCATGGGAACTTGTTTCGCTTTCACGGTTGCCTACGTTTGAGAACTGGGCCCCTCCCTATATATATATATATATATATATATATATATATATATCATGAAAAACGAGTAATGTTGTTATATAATTAAATAATATAATAGAGTTTGATTTTATCTTGTTTTGAAATTTATATCATGTTGGTGTATTGTAATCTAAACAAATTTATAGTAGCAATTAAATCTAAGTAAGAGTTATTTTACATATAAATGTTGAAATAATTATTATAAAATTTAATAATTTTAATTAAATAAAATCCATAATTGGATAATATTGTAAATGTATTTTAATTAAATTTAACATAATATAGAAGAAAAATAAAATTATGAAACTATAAAACTGGTAAAGTATAAAACAAGTAAGTTTAGGTATACTAACGGGTAGAAATATAAAATATTGTAGATATTTTATATTGTAGATAAATTATAAAATATAAAAAAGTCAATATAATACTTAGTTCAAGGGAATAGTCAATAACGGGTAGAAAGAAATGTTGAGCAAAATTTTTATTTTATATTTCTTTAATGGTGTCTTATTTATATAGGTTTAATATTGTTATCTTTTCATTTTGGATCATGCGAAAATTTAATTAGTTTAATTTAATTAATTTTTTTTTTATAATTTAGTAAATGTATACATGTACTCAATTTTTAAAATATTTATATTATTATTTTTATTTAAAATATTTACAAATTAAATCAATTACATATTTTCTTCTCAAAATTTATTAACAAAAGTATCAATTCTTACTTAAATAAAATAACTCAAAACATTTTCTTTTCAAATTAAAGCATCACATTGTATAATTTGTTTTATATTTTCATAAAAATTTTGAAAATTTTAGGTTTAAGGAATACATCGATAATTTGTTCTTGCACATGTTTGAGGTGTTTAGGGTGAATAAGGGGAGATTAAGTCCATACCTATTGGAGAAGGCAATTGCTTAATACTTACTACTCGTATTGACTAACCATTTCAAAATTATGTTGGCCTACTACACCTATTTGATTTGTTTTTCCTAATTTTTCTTTATTGGTTGTTATGAATGATGAATAACTTAGTAGGGGTATCATATTGTTGTAGTTTTCGTTTTCGTTTTTTCGAATTTTCTGAAATGCTCTATTGTCTTGCATTTCTTTTTCTTATATGATATGAAAATCTCATCATCATTGGCCACATGCCCACGGCATTAGAAATTAAAAGTAACATTCCTAAGAAATGAAAAGTAGCCATAACTTGCACGGGTATCAATCATCGAGGTGCAGTAAAAGGAGTGGGGTACCACGGTTTTGTAGGGCATGAATATATTTTATGGAAATTTTCCTTTGTCAAAATGTTAGATGAATGTATTATGAAAATGTTTCTGGCCCATTGATGATCATGAACCATTCCTTAGAAGAAATTAATTCAACAAGTATGGAGGTTGGGATTCAATATCTAAAGATTCATAACATGAACATGAACATATGCACTTGAAGCTAGAGAGCAATTAGGTTTTGAATCATGTCCTTGAAAGGGCCTAAACTACTATCACCATATACAATATCAACTATCCTTACATCGAGGACAGACAAGATTCAACAATCCTTAAGTCACTAAATACCTAGTACTGGGATCAACCTCGTCTTCCAATAGCATCACTGACCCATACAACATGCAATTATCCAACACCAGATTAAGAAAAAGACCCTAAACCTATGGTCATACAAATCCAATTGGTACATATCAATTTTAAATATAATGATGATAATGAACAATTTATTTTAATATCGATATAGGTTTGGGCACACTTCATGCAAATAATAGTAAAGAATTATTTAAATTCTTTTAGTGCAAATCACAAATATTCTTTATCAGGAATGATTCTTTTGTACTAATTATTTCTTATATACAAATTTATTAAGAAGTTTACTCAAAATTGGCACGTGAACTCCCAGTCCCGTTCAAGAGGAGGGTGAAGAGCAACAGATGATTGGTGAGAATGAAATTTGAGTAAGATGCAGAAACATTGAGAAGTTGTGGTGTTGGTGATCCGAAACCATGTGTGCAATTTTAAATGTTGATGAATGCTGCCCTACCACTTCATGAAATCATATTGTCTGCCACTGCCACATCGCCCTCATCCAATTCTGTTATTTATGATTTGCCCTTTTCTCTACTCTATATTTCACATTATCTCTGAATCAGACCTCGGAAATTAAGGGTCAGAAATAGAGAAGCGTTAGCATATTTCCATAGAGGAGATTACATTAGATTTGTATGCTAACCATGCTTATACGCTTTGGACAAAATGCACCCAACAGGACCAACATATATAACTCCAACCAAACCATATGGAGTCTGCAATATCTTCATCAAATCAATTAGAAAATTTCCCTTGAAAAATATATATATATATATATATATATATTATTATTGCTTACAATAAAAGCTTGCTTTCTGCATAATGCTTATCCATATCTATAATTTGTAATTAAGTAAGAGATAAGTGATTCAAAAAAATAAAATGTATTGTAAGAAATGTAAGTTAATCTTATTTCTAATCTCAAATTTTTCCCATCTTATCTCTACCAAGTCAAACCTCAAAACCTATAATTATTTTTAAAATAAACAAAATATTCATCTTTAACGAGAATATTTTCTGGCTCACAACGTTATAGAAGGTTGAAATGATGCTAGTTAGTTAAATATTATCTGTATAGGTTATATGATTGTGACCGAAAAATGAATTGAAAAGGGTATGAAGGCAGGTCTAATTAAAATGGTTTATGGGATACTAATCAGAATAAAAGGGTGTCCATTCAAGAGGAGCAGAGAGCTGGCTGCATCACTAAGTTACGGAAGATGCTGACATCTTTGCCCTTTTTATGTTGGGCTATGCTTATCTACAAGTGGGGGTCTTATCGTAATAAAAGACCAGCTAGAATATATACTTGATATGTTGTTGAGAGATACAAGCTTTATCTGAAAAATTCAACTAAAATCTCATAATATATACTCGATATTTTAGTTAAAAGCTTACAAATAACTAATTGATTCACATAAAATTAGATGTATAATTTATTGAAATGTGTTAAATAAGTATAAAGAAAAGTTAAGGTTATTTTCTGCGAGATAAGTCATTTAAAATTTAAAGATAAAAAACATTAAAAAAATAAAAATATATCTAATAAATTGAATATTATTTAAAGTAATTTTTTATAAGTTAAATTTTAAAAGTCATAGCCTTCACCAAAGTTAGTTTGAATAGTTTTTTTAGGTTGAAACACTTAGCCTTTATTTGCAAGTTCAATTGAAGGGAGAAAGGGAGGGAAAAAAAGAAGGCTTTTAGGAGTTTTTGTTTGGTTGAGAATTTTATAAATAAGGGGAGAATTTTGGAGATTGTTAGATGCTCTTCAAAATCTTTTTCTTTTGTATTTTTTGAGTTTTCTTATTTTGAAAAGTTTTAACATTAAAAAAGCTTAACCTTCATTTTTTTTTTCCTCTTTCTTACTTCTCAAATTATTTTTTATTTCTCCGTTCAAACTTTCATACAAAATCTTAATGTTGTTGAGGTTGGGTGAAAGTTTATTATATCATATCTTACAAATTATTAATTTTTTTTGGTCAACTTAATTTTTCTAATTTAAAATTATAACTTGGCACTAACACTTAAAACGAGCCGGCATTATTTAAGAAAACTGGGAGATTGGTTGGGCTTTAAACATATCTATGCCTAATTTTTAGTTTATTATGGGCCTGTGGAAATTGGTTATAGCCTTTTCAATTTTTAGTTTATTACGGTAGCATTGGGGCATGCATTGATAGGCCTTAGAACCAGAATCTACAGATGCTGAGACCAGTCGATAAAATAAAATTCTGAGACCAAAATTTGATTTTGCATTAATATCAATTTGTTTTTGAAGTGAATATTACAGATTTGTTAACTAATAGAGAAAGCAATATTCGTTTTCTTTCGCGTTATATAGGAAAATTCAGTTTAGTATGTATTGATAAATGTTCATTATAAAAAAAATCATTTAGTACTAATTTAATGTTAGATTAGCCATGACTAGTATAATTTTTTTAACAAAATTTAAACTTAGTATGGATCATGTTATGAGTTTTATACTAATAATATGATAAATGATACGAACAAATAGTTTTATTGGTAAAACTATTAATATATAATATAATGCATCATTTCTTATATCACTCTTCAAAGTCTATATTAATAATTTTTTTGTTTGATAGGGATTATATTGGCACTTGAGAATACTTATTTGCTAATAAATAAAATTTGTTTATATGAAAATATTAATAATTGTATATTTAAACATTATTATCATCATCGTCTAAAGAATATTTATGATTTCAAAATTACTTTTTTCATTTGATTTTTTAAATATTCTTTATCAATTTTAAAAGAAATAATAATAATTTTTTTTCAACGAGGAGATGGTAATTGGATAAGATTGTATGGGGTTGATGGATAAGGCTGTAGATAGGTTCGAAAGACACGGTGAGCGGATGAGGCCCTGGTACTCCGGTTGTGTTACGTTATTTTTTATTGGGCCTTTTCTATTTCCACCTCAATATTCAAATATAAAAGATATTGGTATCAAATATAATATTATATAATTATTTTTAGTTTCCATTTATTTATCTTTGTATGCATACGTATTTTAAGATAAATATAAATGAAAAAATTTTGTCTTATCTTGTTTTATAATTGATAAAACATTATTAAGAAAAAAAAAATGAACATGTGTTATAGGATAGGTTCACACTAAGAGGCTTAGGTGTTGCCAAATAGCGTTGACAAGTTCATATGTGAGAATTGAAATATTTAATTTTAGATTTATTTAAGTAAAAATAAAATTTACATTTTTTTTCTCTTAGCTCCTGCTCTTCTTCTCTCCTCCCTTGCCTGTGCCATTGTTGCTAGCTCTATTTTTGTTCTCTTTCTTTCTCACCCAACTTGAAATTGATTTTGGAGCATAAAATGTTCAATATTTTAAATGGTTGATTTAATATTTTATTGAATGGTTGAAACTACGTTATGATCTATTAAAAGGGTAAGAAAATAAAATATTAAATTAATAGTTATTTTAATAAATTTATAATTATTGAATCGAAATCAGTGAACAACATTAATCTATTATTGAAGAGTTGCTGTCAAATTAAAGCCATATTTAGAATATTCATTAAAATATTGAGCACCTAAACCATCACCATAAAAATATGCATGGTGATCATAATCAAATCGCATTCTTCAACAGGAAAGTGGTGACTGAAGAGGATAGCGGTGAGAGTGGTTCAAGAATGTTGGGTTAAACCAATTTTTAGAGTAGGGTTTCTTGAATCAATTGCAGTTCTTGACAAATAGGTCAATGATAGAGATAGAGAATTTAGTCGTTTGCTGAAACACAAACACACCATCAACATTAGCATTTCATAAACAGAGATAGACATAACAAAAGAAATGGAGTAAAAGTAGTGCTTGAACATGACAAACAAATCAAACTATTCCTCTCCGGTGGTCAATGTTAGCACCTTACATGTCGTTAATTATTTACCCATGTTACCTTCACTTTAAATTTTGAGTTGTGTGAATTAAGAGCACAATAAATAATAAATTTTTTTAACTTCAGTCTGACAGAAGATAAGCAACTAATAATAATAAAATTTTATTAAAAAATATTTATTATATTTTTATAACTTCAATATAATAATTATGTATTTTTTTATAAAAAAAATTTTATTTGTGGATGTTTAAACTTAATTAAAAGACTGAAGTTAACAAAATTTATAAATAATTAATAATAATAAAATTTTATTAAAAATAATTTTTTTTATATTTTTATAATTTTAACATAGTAAATATGTTATTTTTTTAATAATTCTTTTTATCTATGTATTCTCAAACTTAACTCTAAGAAACAAAAATAACAAAACTCTTAATCATTTTAAATTATTTTTTATTCCAAAACAATCGAATATTGTTAGTTATACAACATTATATTTTTCGTAGGAGAGAGTTCCAAACAGATGTGTGATTGCCTTAGGATATGAGTAAGAAAATTTTATTATGATAGAAGAATTGTGGAGAAGATAGTTAGGGTTTTAACTTTTAATGAAAGAGCGGACACAAGTGTTTATCATATCGTATGCGTGAGATCTCAAAGATGACGTGTGTGTGAAATTTGTTCACACTTTTCACTCTAGTTATTAATATTTGAAAAATGAGATTAAGAGCAACTTTTTAGATATTTTTATATTTATTTTATAATTAGTATTGAAATTTTATTTTAATATTTTATGATAATTTCCAATGTTAATTTTTTATTGAATATATTTTTTTAAGTTAAAACTTTAATTTTAGTCATAAAAAATATTACTAAATATACTTAAAGAATTTGGTGGAGGTTGCAGTAGAAAAATATTATGAACGATAAAGTTGAGTGAAACTCACAGTCTTTTGAGACGGAAAAAATATTACGATTCAACTATGAGTGAAACCTCTATTTCATTGCATTTAATACACTATAATTATAAAAACAATTTTTTTTTCCGTCAGTGTATTTCTTTATAATGATATGATTAACTAAAAATTGTTATATGTCATTTTTATCAAATTTAATTATTATTAGTGATAAAATTTGTTGAATTTTAAAAATATAATAAATAACATAAAAAATAATTTAGAAAGATTAAAATTAAAATTTCATAAAATTGGATATAATCATGAAAAAAGTTTTTTTATACTATTAAGAAGAAATATCTTTAAATGTTTATTTATTTTACAGATATATTTTTAAATGTATTTATATAAAAATAAAAAAATTATATCATATACATTATTAATTTTTAATAATACAAATAATATAAGTAATGCAATCATTGTCGCTCATGAATTTGATAATGTGGTCCTCGGAAGAGTGAGTACATAGTAGATGCTTTACAAGTACACTCCTTCATACAACTTGCAGTACAAACTAAATAGAACATTATTTTATTCTAATATATCTTTAAGATATAATATATATATATATATATATATATATATATATATATATAATAACTCTTACTGTAATTATATGATTTAGTATATTAATAATATTACATTTATAATTAAAATTTATTATTTTTGTTTTTATTTATTTATATATCGAGAGAAAAAATTACATAGAAAAAATATAATTATTGTTAAAATTACTTGTTAATTTTATTGATTTACTTTTTTAATAGTTTTTATTAACTCTTAGACTCAAAATTCTATAAATATTTTTAAAAAATAAAAAGTATTAATAGAAGAATAATAATAAATATTATTTCAAAATGTTAAATAAATAAAAATAAGAATAAAAAACTTATTTTCTTTAAATAAAATAAGTATTATAAAACTAATATTATTTGTTAATTTTTATTAATTTTTAAATATGTTAAAAAATTTAATAATTAATTTTCACACAAAGAAAAGTGTCCAGTACTGATGTGCAGTACAAACAGGGCTATATAAATATAAAAAAGCAATGGCAACAGATATGCGGAATACAGTACAACATTTGTGCCGTATCTGACTTGAGGTGGGATATTTCTTTAGGACTATGGTTTGGACGAGCCACAACAAAATGCACAAAGAAGGAAGAAGCTAATTTATGGGTAATGCGATTCAGAGCTGGGCATGATTTAATTGTATGAGGTATGTCAAACTCAGAAACTCTTTATGTTGTCATAACTCTTTCCAAACAATTTTGGCCAGCTTCAAGTCCAAAATCCAGCAGAAGTTGTCTCTTGTCCAATCCATGGTTTTAAAGGGATGAACCCCTCAATGGTTTTTGGTTTATGCGAGATTTCAGAATCAATAAGCTATATGCCTTACAATAAGGTATGCTTAATTTCATGGCAGCAGCTAATTTATATACCAACCTTATGCTATATTTACCATTTTCTAAAAAAGTTATTTTAGGTATTTTTTTCAATTATAACACGGTTGTTAGAATTATAATTTCCCGAAGAGAATTCAAGTCATTCACATAAATTTTTGGGCCATTTGAAGCACACAAAGATAAAATTCAACTTTTAGAAAATCTGGTCGCTGCAACTTCACTGTTTTGTATCTGGATTTTTTCCGGGTTTACGTAGGATTCTACATCTAGTTTTAGTTTTACTTAAACAAATTTGCTTAAACAAATTGTTAAAAATTATGATGAACTTGTACAAATAAGTGATGAAATTGTTCAATGACTCAAATAAACTAAATTTATGTATTGTAAATTTTTTATTAAAAAAATTTGTTCAAAATTGATGTCACTTCATGACTCCTTTCATTATATCCAAAAGTCAAACCAACTAAGGTGAAGGCTTTGTAGTGTTTTAGCATCAAACAATGTTGACATGTTTCATGAAATTTTGAGAATGCTCCAAACTCACTCTAAAGATCATTTGAATTTCAATTACACCTTTTTTTCCCCTCATTATCCACAATATTTTTTTTTCTTCTCTTTTTTTCTTAATTTTTCATGTCATTTATTTTTTTTCCTCATTCTCTTCCTTGGCTGCCTTTACGATATTGTTTTCTTTTTTCACCTTGTTCCTGTCTTGTGGAACAGAACAGAAATCATGTTCAATGTCACTACCTCTCTCTTTCTTTGCAAAATTCATTTTCTTGGAGCCCCTTCGTTTGTTTCCCTTCATTGCCAATGGATTTCACACAATTTGAAAGATCAAAATTTAAAAATTTTGTTTAAGCAAATTTATTAACCAAAATTTTTTAATTGAGCAAATTTAATTTATTTAAATAAAAATAAAATTAGATATCCAGTTCTTTAGCAAATTAAAGAAAAAAAATGATCAAATTTTTTTAGTTATAAAAATAGTAAAAATTAAATAATATTAAATAATCTTTATATTCTTTAGATACAATAATAAATAAATAAATAAATGTTTAATTATATTTTTAGTCTCTATAAACGTTAATCATTTTATAATAAATTTTATAAATTTTTTTATTAAGATTTAGTCCATATAAAATTAAAAAATTAAAATTTAATTTATGCCATCTCTGAGTAAAAAATGTCAACTGAACATTTTTATGTAAAGTCATATAACATGGTATATTATTTATTTTTTATTATTTAATATTATATAATTACAAATAAATTTTATATAATTACATAAAATCTCTTTTTTAACTTTTTTTTCTCATTTTCCGCAGTCCCTCGCTCACCTCCCCACAATCCTCTTCCAGTAATTTTTCCCCACTCTCACCCCTCCTCACAACCCATTAATTGCATAACAGTGAGGTATAATAGAGAGAGAAGCTATCCTAAGAAATGAAAAGAGTAAAATGGGTAGTACCGGTTTGGACTTTTGTAACAACAGTTTTGAAGAAGGTGGAAAGTGAGGATTGGAGAGGTTTTGAGAATTTGTAATCTTAACGGAAGAATGAATAATTGAGTCGGTGGAGGGTTTGAGATTGGGAGTAAATGGTGGAGTCATGAAGGCCATATTTCTAAATTGAAGGTGGCTAGTAAAGAACACTGTAGAGGATGATGCCGCAAGACCACGTGGTTGCCTTACAACCATCATAGCTGCAATGGTGGAGGATCTCTGGCACGGTTTATGTCAACGTGTCCTGTGTGATGTGGAGGAAGCCGTTCTTGAGCTGCTCCGACTTCAGCCAAGAGGCTAAAGTCAAAGACCCAAATCCAAAAATCAATTACTTAGATCCAGATAAAAAAACTCAACTACTCCGAAAAAAAAAATTAGACCCAGATCCAAAAATCCCACAAAAAATTTCATACCCAAAGTTTATCCAAAACAAAAAGGAAAAACACATTATTAAAATTAGAAGAACAACAATAAAAATGAAAACTTTGAAATCAAACTTGAGAGAATGACACAGAGAGAAGAAGAGAGGATCAACTTATCACATACGGGGTTGAATAGGGAAAAGGGGGTTGCTAGTGCCGATAGAATTGGTAGGATTTGATTAGATCTGAGGAAAACTTAGGTAGATAAGGAAAGAGTGAAGAAATTTTGTGATAAAGAAAACTGAGGATGTAGCATCAGAGAAAAAATTCACAATTAGGGCACAAACTGAGTTATGTGTTGTTCCTTAAGCAAGACCTCAATGTTGGCATCAATGATGGTGTAGAGTCTGGCAAAGGCATCATCACCTGAGACAAACAATGATCTATTGTTAAATGGATAGAGCGAAAAGGATGGTGATTAATATTTTTGAGATAGAGAAAATGGAGAAGAAGATAGAGAAAAATATAGTATTAAGGATGCAAAGAGGTCATAGATGAAGTAACAACACATATGCAGATGCAGGAAAGCAAATAATTACACACCTCTTCCTCCTCCTCCACTAGCTCCACCACTACTAGTTTTCAGCTCCATGCATCAGTCCTCTGATTCAAGGAGGTCGTAGATGGAGCAACAACATATGCAGATGCAGGAGAGCAAGCAGTTACACACCTCTTTCTCCTCTTCCACCAGCTCCAATACCACTAGTTTTTAGTTCCATGTATCATTTCTCGACTCTTTGTCAATTAATAACAGTGCTCCTTCGGATGATGATTGTACATATTATATTATTCCTAATGGATACTTGTATTTTCTTTTTAACATTATTTATTTGAATGTTTTTGTTTTCATTTGTAATGACATTTAAATTTTATATTTTATAAATCTTTTTTAAATTTTTAGATTTAATTTTGTAGTTTTTATTATGTTTATAAATTATGATAATCAGTAACATATAGAAATAACTATGTATTAAACAAAAAATAACAACAATAGTAAAATATATCACAGATATATTACAGACAGAATCTGTCTATAAGTACGGATTTTGAAATCCGTCTATAATTTTTTATTGATAATGATATTATAGACAGTTTCTGTCTGTCTATAAATTCGTCTGTAATGATTTAAAAATTTGTCTGTAAATTTTTTATATATGCAGGTTTTGTAATAGTGATATAATATCATTTCTACTAAATATATAATGATGAGTTGAATATGAATTTTTCATGCTATAACTCAATCTGTTGGCAATGTTGCACAGAAGTTATTGTATTGATGAGGTTGAATTTGAGGGTTTCTTACGAACTTTCAAAAAGAGAATTTATATCTACTAATTAGATATCAAAATTTTTAATAAGAAAATCATATGCAAAACTCATACTTGTTGACAATGATAACGCGAACTAGTTTTATGTAGTTGTTTTAAGTTCAAAACTAGATTCTTAAGCTAGAATACTATCATGCTAGTTCAATTATATTAAATTCATCAATTCCCTCTCCTTCCTTCTCTCTCTTTAATTGGTCATATTCAAGTTATCATCTTAGCACAACACATTTTCCTTTGTTTGCATCCTTACTTAGGCCCAACCCTTATGGTAGTTTAGGAGCGTGGTCGCCCAAGGCCCAGACTTAAAAAAGGTTTAAAGTAAAAATTGTATTATACTTTCACGTGAGAAAAAAAAAATTCAGCTCTTAATTGCAATTTATAGTTGAAAAAAATAAAAAAAACAAAGAAGCCTTCAAGTTCTTGCACCTTATTTGCCATAAATGTTGTCAACTCTTTAACTTCTCAAAACTCAAAACTTCCTCTAATTCTCAAATTCTATTTTTCTTAACATTAAAGCTCATAAAGAATTTTAATTTTTTAAAAAAAATTAATTAGTTCTCAACATTAAACCTTTTCTATTTTCTCATAATCATGACAATAAGAAAAATTTTTTACAAGTTAAAAAGGGCCAATTTACTATTTCGCTTAGAGCCTCAATTTATTATTTCACCTAAAATTCCAAAAGGTCAAAAACGGATTTGTCTCTACTTGCCACCAAACATTTGTGAATCTTTGAGTAAATATATATATATATATATATATATATATATATATATATATATATATATATATATAAAAACAAGTTGAAGTTGATCATAGTAGCTAAGAGTCTTAATTATGTCCTGAGTTGTCACCTTAGAGAAACCATCTTCCCTTGAGACAGTTTAAGGTTGTGGAAAAAAATTGATTTTCATAATTAACTTTTCATATAAGAAAGATATTTATTTACTTTCACATCTTTTATCATTTTTTTTATTATTATATTACTTGTCATATGTGTGTATATATTATTTAAATAATATTTTTTTTTAAATTTAGTTTTTAATTAAACAAAAAATAATCCCTAATTTAGATAAGCAAATAAAAATTAATTTTTGTCTTTAACTTGCGATACTAGTAAAATTTTAACTCATCTCTAACATGTCAAGTACTCGATCAAATTATTTTAATCAACATATAATTATAATTTTTTGAATTAAGTCTTTTATTTTTTTCTTATTAATTTTTTTCTAAAGATAAATTTTTTTTTAAAATTTTAATAAAAAATATATCTTATAAAATACTTTTTGAAACTAATTTTAAGTGTATGGACTAATATATTATTTAAATTTAATTTTTAAAAAATATTATATAATAATTAAGATAGAAGTTTGTGACGTGACAACATTTAAACAAAATTTTGTTAATCAACTTAACACTTAGCAAATATAAGTTAACAAAAGACTAATTTATTTAATTGCTTAATTTGTTTGAGATTAAATTCTAAAAATAGTTTTTGGCCACTAATTCTATTGTGAAAATGTTTATAAAATTTTCTTTAAAATTAAAATATACTGTTTTATCTTATATTTCATTCACTTGTATTTTAAAATTCATTATTTTTAAGTTTTAAAATTATTTTTTATATAAATGTAAATTATTTTATTTATTTTAAATAATTATACGTATTCATGTTTGAATATTAAACATAATTTACGAGATATTTACTAACTAGCTGTAATGCATTGGATCAGACATATTAGACAACAAAGGTCGTTTAGGGAGAACCCACCACGCAATTATTCAATTTATTCATCTTTAACAAATTAGTAAGTTGTTCATACATTATATGTAATTTTAAATTTAATAAAATTTATAAATAAAAATAAATTAAAAATAACAAATTAAAGAAATAAAATTCTTAAAATTTAAAAAATAAATTACTAAACCTAAGAAATATTATTTTTATTTATATAAAAATTTAAAAGTTAAATTAAATTTAAGATTGATTAAGATTAAAATAATATTAAAATGTAGTTTATCTAAAATTATCCATTTTCAATTCGATTTGATATTAAAATTGAAAATTAAAATGAAGTTAATATCAAAATATAAAGAAAAAATAAAATTAAAAGGTCATTGAAAAGGTTACATAATTTAACGAAGATGAGAATGCTCCTAAAATTAGTTCTATTAAAAAAAATAGAATCTAATGTTTATAGCAGAACAGTAGTTTTTTTGTTCAATTTTCAAATGGGATGGAAAAGGGATTTATGCTATATTAGCTTAAAGATTACAGCAAGAACCAGCTTCATATTCTGATGGGAATATTAACGCACCCACACCTGTAATCTTCCTGTGGCTTAATGATAAATTTAAGTTTATAGCTTAATTAGGTATTTATTTAATAAATTCTTTTAATAAAAATATCTGACAAAAAATTAGCAATATAATTTATTAAAATAAAGTTAAAATAATTTATTTTGATAAATTATACTAAAAAAAATTAAAATAAACTGAAAACACTTATAAAAATTGAAAACAATTTTCATAAATTATTGATAAACCCTTTTTCACATGTTCCTTAAAAACATTTCTAAATAGCTAAATGTTGGAATATTAAACAGGAACAACTTGATGGGTGGACCTTAGAATGAAACCTCCACAATGCTATGTACCAGCAATATTTGATCATATATTCTGCACCTTTTCGATTTTTCATGTGTCCTTGTGATTCTTCGCTATATCGATCTTAGCTCAAAGTAGATTCTCTACATGGCACTGATGGAACTCAAGACGTTCACCATATGAACCGTACAAAATTTGATCGGGAATAAATAGAATAAATCATACTTCTTTTATAAGTTACAATTAATTTATGTATTTTATTTTTTGAAAAATAAAATATAAAAGTTTAAAAAATAGGATCATAAATTAATTTTAAATTATAAAAAATTATTTATTTTACTTTTTTTATAAATATTTATTAATAAATTTATTCCAATTAAGCCTTATTCATGATAAATACTCTTAATCTCATCGTTATCTTAAAAAAAGGAATTCTAACGTCCAACTCTTTACTTAATACATTAAGACAATCTACTACATACTTAATGGTTAGCATTTCTGATTCTATAAATAAGTGCTTCTCCACACCCCATGAACGCAAGTAGTAACAGCATAGCTACCAAATCCATCCCCAACAATACAAGAAGTTGATCAAAATAGAAGAAAAAATGTCCCTCCTTTCCTCGAATGGTGGGTTCTTTGGTAGAAAAAGAAACGAAACACCTCGTTCTGAAACATGGGACCCGTACAAAGAGTACCATGGTTTGGGAGGGATTCCAATCCCAGCACCACCTCACATGCCTTTCCCCACGGACCCTTCAACAATGATCAACACTCGCAGAGAGTGGAAGGAGACACCCGAAGCGTACATGTACAAGACACACCTTCCTGGTCTCAATCGCAATGACGTGAGAGTGGAAGTGGATGATGACAGAGTGCTCTGCATCATTTGTGAGAAGAATGTGGAGAAACGAGAACAAAGAGAAGGGTGGCACAAAGTGGAGCTCTCTAGTGACCACTTTGTTCACCGTCTCACTTTGCCTCAAAACTCTATGGTTGACCAAATTAAGGCTCATATGGAAAATGAGGTGCTTACTATTAGGGTACCTAAGCGCACCAAAGTTACCAACCACCGTGTCAGAAACATTAGTATTTCTTCTCAGTGAGGCTCTGTTTCATCTCGTCAATGGAAATTAAATTCAGAAACATGGTTGTCTAGATAAATAAATCGCTAAAGGTCTATGCTTTTGCAATCTTGTCAACTAATCCATCTATTAGAACAATAATCAGTTTGAGGGATTACCCTGCGTTGGTATAAGAAATATGAAGTTGGCAATTATACATATCTCTTTGCTGATTACTGTTGGAACTCTCGAACATCCTAACAATTACAATGTTTTTTTTTTTAACCTAATAATCGAATCTCTATTAACACTTTCTCCTCTTACGGGAAAAAAAAAAAAAAACACCACACGTTATGGTCAGAATCATGCCATGTTCATTTTCCTTCATGAATATTATAAGTTGATAGATATGAATTTTTTAAGTATACTCACAAGGGTTCGTCATATATATGAAAAAAAAATGTAATAAAAAATAATTTTTATTTCAGTAATTATTACACCATGAAAAATAATATACCTTTAAATGAAATAATCTTTGATTGTTCGTTACGTGAGATTCTTAGCATACACACACACACAAAATCTCCTCGTATTCTCAGTTCCAATCTTCATTTTTGTTGGAATGATAGCTTTATGTGAAAAGAACTACTGTGGTATCAACGTTTAGAGTTGCGCCTTTAAATTAAAGTGAGAGGAATATAATTATAAGAAACATTTTCTTCGATAAAGAATGGCAATTTTATGATAAAGAGGCTCCACGTTCTTAGTTACATGGAAAAGTTGCTATAAGCTAAACTTAGACTACAGTGCAAATGAGGGCCTTAGTAAACAAATCTGGTTTTTAAATCATTATTTTTTTTTTGTGAGACCACTCCTTTGGCATTACTAACATTGCAAACAAAGAAAACAAGACGAGAGAATAAAGAGATCCGAATATTAATGGTCTCCTCTTATTTGGAATTGGTGAAAACATACAGAAAAGAAAAAACTGAAGAAAGAAATTAAAACTTGCACACATATGAGACCTATGTTTAAAATTCGCTACTCAATTAAATCATAAAGAAATTCGTGAGATGAAGGGGAGTTTCAATCGTAACGACGAAAATACTCTTATTTAGAGTTTCATTTTATTATATTATTAAGGTTTAAATACCATTTAACATAATTATTTTTCTTTTTTATATGCAACAAAATAAATATAGAGATAGCTTAAATGTTTCTCTTAGTATTTTATACTAATCTAAATATCCTAAAAATCTATCTATTATTTATTTATTTTCTCTTTCTCCTTGCTTTTCTTCCTTAATTTTTACATCCACACAAGGTTTAATATTATTTGTTGAAAAACATGATAGAGCAATCAGAGTGAAAGTTGAGAAAAGTGAAAAAGTCTAAAATTGATTGAATGAATTAAGGTGTATTCATAAATTGCATAAAGTGAACTTAGGATAGTTAATTTGCTAAGACTTTGTTTTAGAGTTCATTTTAGAAAGAATAATTTTTTTTAATGATAACATATATATCTTCTATTATTTTTGAAGCACTTGTAACAAGTTGTTACAAGGTTAGAATTTTTCATATGCTAACGCGGAAAGAGAAAAAGAAAAGAGAAAGAGAAAAGTCCTTTTTCATTTCCTATAGTTTGTTTAAATTATTTTAAAAGGAAGATTACAATTTTAGTTATTATTTTGTCATATTTTAGAGCTTTTATGCTACTAAATTGTTTTTTAGCTTTTGACATGTGTATTTGCTATAATACTTTATTTATTTAGGATTCTTAACTTTAAAAAAAACTGAGTTTCTTCTTTCCTATTCTTCTAAACCTTAATCTCTAATAACAATTGACTTGCCAACAATGAAAATTGAGTTGCTTGTAACACTGATTTGCTTGCAACATCACAGGTATATACTCCTTTTTCTCTCTTTTTCAACGGGTTTTTCACAAAGCTCTTTTTTGGAGAGTCCTGTAATTTTATTGTCTAGTTTGGAAACAAATTGCTTGCATGACATGCAGTACAATCCTTTGTATTTAATAATTTAATGTTCATAATATTATGAACTGAAGGTTTTTTATGGTTTAGATTGCGTAAGATTTTTAGAGAGAATAAAAAAAATAGTTTTTAGGCTGCATACTGTTTAGACATCTTAATTTATAAACCTTTGGGAAAAACATTGAAAAGTTTAAAATATGTTGAGTTACGAAAATAAAAGCAGAAATGGAACAAAACTAGCCTCTTACGAATGTTCAACTTCAACTTCCAAATTCAAGAAAAAGCGTCAGTGGCCCAAAATTATGAAACTCAACGAGCTTATGATCCTACAAAGCAGTTCAACAAGGTAACCCAACACTTATTAATATCTTTTACATTTATGAACAATCTTTATTGACCAAAAAATATATATTTAAGAATATTAATATCATTATCATCATTAGACCAAAATATGCACAGCTTAAATTCTCATACAAGTGCAGAGGGGCACGTGATGCCTTTGCACGTGATCATACACACAGTTATATATATATATATATATATATATATATATATATATATATATATATATATATATATAGTTGAATGATCTAGCTACAGCAAAAATATTGTTGGGTCATTCTTATTCACTTCTTGCTATAACGAGATTCTCTTATTGTATTTGATTAATTTGAATGATTGTACTATATTTCCATCACATATATGATAAGAACTTATTTTAGAAATGTTTTGAATGAGTATGATCTTTTTGTCAAATAATATTTGATTGTGGTGAAGGGTTAATAATATATGTTTGGTTGATTTTAAGTGTTGTCCTTTATTCTTATAATATATGTGTTTTGGACTTAGTCCAAAGGAGTTGTACTATACGTACGACTTGTTTATCCAAACAATGAAATGAGATGAGAGGAAGTATATTATGGAAAAAGGTAGTGAAATGAACTATTGTGAATAATTACATACAGAGATACACTGCGGTATAGAGTTTAGAATGACATTCACATATGTGTACACACTCTATCTGAGAGTGAATATGTCACATGACCTCACACTCATTTTCTGACTAAACCTTTGCTAAAGGGTCCATTATTGTATACATTGTATCCATGTGACAGGCTAACCAGCAGCTATTTACCTATCTGTGTAAGACCTTGATGTAACATGTTTTACGTTTATATTCAATGTTTTATTTTGATTAATAAACATTTTTCATATGCTTTATTTTTATAATTTTTACTATTTTCTACTTATTTGAATAAATTGGGTCTATTACAAATAAATGCTTTAATTTTGAATTTTCAGTTATTCTAATCTTTGACTACTCTTTTTGTCATAACTTTTTCTATAGATATCATTTTTTGCTAATTCTAGTTTCATTGGATTCTACACATCGAGGGCTTCAAAATGCATATATGGATCGCTGAATTTGGAGTAATTTTCTATTTTTTATGATTTTTAAAGTTGAAGCAAATTTGCTGAATATTGTTGCGGGATTGCATTTGAATCCTTGTTATTTAATAATTGTATTTGGACTTTTAGATATTATTAAGGCTCATATTTTGGCCACTTAATTTACCCTAATTAGAACTTATAAATAAACTAATAAAGTTCTGAATTAGAGGGAGTGATTAGACACTTTGAGCGTTTGAGACTAGGTCGAAATAAGAATTCTTCTTTTTACTTTCTCTCGAACTCTCTCGTTCTTTTCTCATTCTTGCGTGGGTTAAACGTTTCGATGAAAGGCTAAACCTCTTGTTCAATCCGCAGAATCCAAATGTTGTAGTTTTGACTTGAGTTCTGCGCTAATTGCTTCGAGTTTATTCTCTTTTTTTCTCTAATTTTAGAATTATTTATTGCGATTGTGATTGACTTTTTTGTTGTTAGATTTCAAATTAGGACTCGATTGATGCTCTAATTTGATAATTAATGCGAATTAGGTTAAATAATTATTTAATTTAATTTGTAACTCTATTCAATTAGGTTATTCGATTGAATTAATAATTGAATTGGGTGATTGTTCAAACGTGAATTTAAATCTTTAGATACTGTGATAGTCGTAGTTACACATAATTGATATTCTATGGATTGATATTTCTTAATTCATTTTTTACTCACTTTAATTCTGTTCGTAATTTAATTTGATTAATTACAATTTTTAAAACTCCGTTAACCTTATTTGCATTTTTTAAAATAAAATCTAAAATTAAATTTAACTGAGAATGTGTCTCCGTGAATTGACCTAACTTTGACTCTATACTACAAAATCTTTAGAAAACTTAATTGTTTTGATAGCGACTCGACAATCGTCTATCAAACCTTATGAAGTGTTGAAAATATTGAATGTCTATGATCACAGTGCATAGAAAGTGTGAAATTGAAAGAGAAAATTGTAGTGATTTTTGTAATAAAATGTGTATGCATTGTAAAAATTGCTGATGTATCTATTTCAAAAGATGCTATGGCATGATTTTCCTTGGCTTAAGAGCAAAGTTTATGTTATGATATTCAATAATGTAATTGCATCATGTTAAATGGTGAGATAGACGCTTATCCTTACTAAATATTTCAAAAAATAAGGATGAATGAATCACGGGGATAATTAGATTAGTAGATTACTATAAAAATTATATGATTAATTATGTATTTAATAAATATTAACGATTTTGTTATTTTATAGAGGGACAGTCACGACTCTAGTATTTTATTGAGCCAATTAATTATTGAGCGAGTTATGAGTGTTGAAGTGGAGGCTAACTCTGAAAATCTTGAAGAAGATAAGGCTCTAATTTCTGAGGAGCTAGCTGAGATAGATGTTGGCACAGTGATAATTATTAGGACTGAATCCTTAATGTTTTGGGTGTGGATGGTAACTACTTTTAAGATTTAGTTTATTTTGACTTTATAATTATGTATTCTAAATCCTAATGTATTTTGATAATAGTCTATAAATATTAAACTTTTGTATATAAATGGAATTCAGTACGTGTATATTTCTCTAAAATTTAGGTATAAATATGATTATTAAGAAATAGTTTATTTTTTATCTTTTTAATACTTCCGTAAACTTTGTGAATGGACTTATTTACAATTTTTTTTAATTTTATAACATTTTTATATTACATATTTTGAATAAAATTTATTTTATTTCTTTATCTCGTTATAAATCATTATGTAATATCGTAACAAATTGTTGCTATAACAAATTACTGTTAAAAAGGCTTAACAAACAGTTTGTTATTTAAATTCAAGCTGCTATAGGAGTTGTTATTTTAGATTTATTATTTTTTAAACGTATCTGTTAGAATTGTTAAATTTTCCAGCAACAACTTCATGTATTTATACAGCATATTATTGAGAAATACAACATTGCAGAAAACTATTTTACATGGTATCAGAGAGTGGCCGAAAACCTTGAGACCTGCACATGGAAACCCCAACAAATGGTGGTGAGAGTGCTGCGACATCTTCAGCAATTGAAGATGCTCAAAGAAAGAAAACTTCCCCTTATGATCTCAACTCCAGTG